GGGGGGGGGGGGAGAGCCCCAGCCAGCAGAGCGAAGGCCGAGCGACGAGCAACCTCAGAGGCTCAGAGGCCAACCGGTGGTGGTTGTTGGTGATCAATGGCGTGCGTTGATGTGCTTCTGCTGCTGCCGAGTCAACTCGCATTGGGGTCAGGAATCGTCCGTGATGGATACTAATGTAGCATAGAGAGGCGCATCGTCTTCCTGTCTATTGCACGCATGCACACTCAACAGCAGCAGCAGTGAGAGCCCCTTGTCATCAAGCAAGGTGCACAGCTAGCTGTCACGTAGCGCACCACGAAAAAACAACAACAACTGCGGCCAGGGGAAGTTCGTGGGAGGACTGTTGACCCACAGCCACCCGCACGAAGTTTCCAGGAAAGTTTCTGATCTCCAAATTTGCTACCTTAAACCGGAAGATAGGGAGCCCGAGTCCGAAACTGTGTATTGCTTCCATTTTACACGTGAACAGCAGTAGTTTGTGAGATTTACATATGTAGGTGCGCTGAGTACCTTGCCGTGGTGTCGTACTGATGGCGTTGCGCTGTACCTCCTTGCGACACATGCTACTGCTGCAGACGAAAAAACAAAAAAAGGAGAGCAACTTGCGCACAAGAGAGTACAGCAGCATTGCTGTGGCATGAATTTGATACTCCGAACTTTGCGTGCGATGTAAACATACAACAGCACATAGCAGTCCCGTCCCTCTCCAACGGTTCGTTGAGACCGTGCAACCTTTCTTTGTGTTGTATGCATGGTCATGGTTCTACGTGGCAATAAGGTGTAGACTACGCCTGGTGTACACGCCACAGCCCCATACAAGCCTCGTTGTGCTTACTGCTGTATGTCTGCCGATGGCTTGCCGAGAGGTCACTCCAAAGGGCACAACTGCTGTTGTATCGTGGACAGCAGCATTACAGAGTAGACTAATTGTTATTTTGTTTTTCTCCCATCATTGGACTCTGTCGTCTGCCCCTCTGGCCCCTGTCCTCCACTTCTGCCAGCTAGACGACCCAACCGGGGTCACATAGGAGGGGGGGGTTGGACCCCCTCAGATAGTGTCGACCGATGGCATACCTCGCAGGATTACACCGTGATGCATCGTCGGACACGACAATTAAAAAAAAAAGCACACACACAACCGCACTGAGACTGACGCCTTTTCATTCGTCAGCTGGTTAGCGCGGTCGCTGCTAATAATAAAACAGCACACACAGCGCGGTCGATGCTAATAACAAACACACAAACACAACACACAGTCAGGTACCTGGCGGTGGTTCCAGATGCCCCAGTAAGCCAGCACCATCTTCCAGCCCCCCGCCGTGAGCAGCATGAAGTCCTGGCTCCCTCCTCTCACGAAGAGCGCCGTGAAGAGCGCCAAGTGCAGGCCGACAATGAAGTTGAGGTCTCCCATGCCCTCCACGAAGGGGCGGGAGCAGCCGTCGTCTGGGATGTGGTGGTGGTACTGGAACTCCATGGCCGGCTGCGACAGCAGCGGCACCTTCATGTTCCAATCATCGTCGAGGACCACGTGCAGCACCCCGGAGTAGAAGTCCAGCACGAAGTACATGACCGCGAAGGCGCCCACCGTGGGAGCAACGCCGCACTCGAAAATGCCGTAACGGATCAGGAAGAACATGGACAAGCAGACGTAACCCCAGACCAGAGTCTCGATGCGCTTCACGAACGGCAGGCGCCCGCCTAGGACGAACTGGATCTCCTGCGCGATGGGGCTGCGCACGGTGCCACTCGTGCTCTTGTCGGCTGCCACCGCTGTGGCCGCGGCGAGGGCTGCCGAGTCCGCTGCGGTGTTGGTGGATTTCATGACAATCCCCCCGTCGGCAGTACTCAATAATGCTGCTGCAGCTGTCGCTGCTGCTGCTGCTGCTCGCTCCTGAGACTGTTGCGCAACCCTGCGTGCAATCTTCACCGCTCGCGTGTTGAGATCTCGCACGAAGCCCCTGGGACCAAGGTTGTACGGCCGTCCCTTGTTGTCGATAAGCACTTCCTCCTCCTCCTGGCCTCCCTGCTGCTGCAGCTCCTGATAATGCTTCTTGTCGGCCAATGATGCCGGCCGGTGGTCCGGATCTGCTGGCGGTATCATCGCGCCCGAGCTCGATATCGTAGCCTGAGGAGGCATGACCTCAACGGAGACAGGAGGCAGAGTCCTCTCCTCCTCCTCACCCTCAGCCCTGCTCAAGCTTTGCCGAGGAACGACGATTGCGCGGGAAGTATTCTATCAATGTTCTGACTTGCCCTAATCGATGTGGTGGAGAGTGCATTGGATTCGGCCTGTTGAGATTTTTTCCGGCGGGCCAATGAAAATCTCTGAACGCAGCAGTAACGAAGTGACGCAGTGCTTGACACCTTGCGGCGAATAAAGCTGCAATCGGTACTATTAATAACATGGTTGGAATCCAAAGCATGTATCCAAACACTGGTTGGTGTGACTGCTGTAGGGTAGCAGCATCTCGTTGCACATGGAATGGTCACAAGGGAGCCAAGTGGGAGGAGCAAGTGCTTTCCTAGATCCGTATTCTAGGTGATGAGGATCCTGGCAAAATCCGCAGCGAACCATGCATCATCATGCATGAAAAAAAGAACTCAGAAGAGGAAGACTTCAGCCAGCACGTTGTATGCATACATACGTCCCTTTCGACTGTGGTGATGTATGTCTCGGACGGGTAGGCTTTCTGTGATATTAATACAATTTTTCTGCATACTTCCAAGGTTAGTGCTGGACACGTTTTTGCGGTATCATAATCATCATGTTCGTGTACATGTCTCCCAGCAGGCAACATCCTGAGCCACGTCGTCGCCCGCACAGAACGACAAGTGAGTCCCAAGACTAACAACAAAACACTGCAGCATCCAACTGCCACAACACAACACTATCCGATGGTTACACGCCCCGACAACTGCTGCAACACGAAGAACATTTCTTTCTCCCGAACGACACATCGATCCAACGAACTTACGAAGACTCGGTCATCATCCATCCCTGCCAAACTAGGGCAGACACCGCCACCGTGAAAGTCACATCACACGATCTCGGAATATAACTGCGCATCCGTCCTAGCTTAGACTACTCCCCAAGCTCCATGCAACCCATCGCAAAAACGCTACTACGATAGAAATGCCGTCGGGGGTGCCCGTAACCCCTTCAATGAAGGTAGTCCCAAACAGCGGTATAGGGACCCAACGTTAATTTTTCTGAACGGCGGCATTATTTCCAATCGGTCGAAAATATTCTCTTGAAAACACTATGGACTGGACATACATCACGGGATCTATTTTCCAGTTTCGAAGGATCTGAGTGCCCACCAGCGCCGATCGAAGGATGTGCAAGGGGAAGGGCAAGTTGGGGTAACGCTGCAACTACCACGCCCCCCCCCGGTTGCTCCTCGATTGGTTAAACTCGAGGGGATCGTCGATGACGTCTGGTACAAAGACAAAACACAAGAGGAGTCAAGAAATAAGTTTCGGAAACACAAAGAGAAACGACGGAAACAAGGATTGCAGTCACGGAATGATGTGTGTCTATATATCATTCACTGAGAGCATCACCCTCCCACAAAACCATGACCACCTTATAAATTGTACCCATCCACACGAAGAACAAGTGTTGCTAGGCACGCCACGACCACGCCTCATTTTTACAATTTTTCCTCTGCGAAGAGGGGCACAGCCGATTCGAAAGCGGATACAAGCACTATCCACTACGACGGGGAGGTGTCGTTGAGCGCCACGCAGGTGACTGCATTGTCGTGCTTCATGTACGACAGGATGCAGGTTCCGCTTCGCACCTACAAGAACAAGGTGGCGTGGGGGGC